TGTGGATTGAACCCCGGACCTTACCCATGCTAGGCAAATACTCCTCCCACTGAGCTACATCTCTAATCCATGTGAGAGCTTTATTTTTCAAGAAAGCTTACATTTATATTTTTGAATGGTTAAGAATGTTCAATGCATAAAAAAGCCATTTCTTTGCAGTCTTTCAATGTCAGGTATTTTGTTTCATAGTTTTTAAGAGCTTGTAAATATGATTTCTACATCAAGTAATGCTTAAAGTAGGTTGTTAGGTGGTTTAAAAGAAACTGAAAAGTACCTTAAGCTCAAAGTAATTTTCTCTGGTTAAAATCAATGACATAAAATATGTATGAATCAAAGAACCACACTAACCATTCTTATAAAAGTGTATGCTTCTTAGGTAATGTTGATTAATATATAAAAGTTTTCATGTTGGAATATAAGCATAAGGGCAGTGGGTTTTGAACTCAGAGCCTTGTGCTTTCTAGGCAGGCACTGTACCACTTGAGCCATGCCCTCCCCCAGTCCTTTATTGCTTTAGTTATTTTTCCAATAGGCTCTCACATTTTTTCCTGGGACCAGCTTCAGACTGTGATCCTCCTATCTACAGTCGCTTATGTAACTGGGATCACAGGTGTGTACTAACACACCTGGCTTATTGTTTGAGCTATGTCATGCTAACTTTTTGCTTGGGTTGGTCTTGAGCTGTGATCCTCCTGAGCTCCACCTCCTGAGTAGGGAAAGTTTAAAATTTTAGGTTTCTTTGATAGAAGTATTGTAATTCTGATAACTTGTTAGGTTTCTTCTGAGTTATTATTTTTACAGTAGATAATAGATATGTTTACCATTTTTGTTCATGCAAAGCCCCTTCTAAATACACCTGTATTTCCATGAGTCTACATCCTTTGTCTCAACTGAAGGAAGATATTTGTCCCAAGGATAGGCAATCTCTGGGCTGGCAGTCAGTTGTAGTAGTCTGGTTCAAAATAAGGAACTGGCACAATCAGAAGTTTACTTAAAGAATTAGGCTTGGGAAATTGAGAGATACAAGTTTGGCATATAGAAGAGTGTGAGCCTGGTATAAAGAGGTCAAAATAGGATTAGAATAATCACCATGCAGAGGCATGGTAAGTTAGGAAGCCAATCAGCAAATAGTGTAACAGTGTACTGAACAAAGCAGAGAGGTCAAACAGATTGACCACTTTTAGAAACACAGAAATCTAAGTTCTAGTTTCTAGTTTTTAGATCCAATTTTCTTAAGCCCCTGTTGTGCTACATTTCCTGCCCTTGGATTTCTGCAAGTTTCTTTGCAAATATTCTTTCTCTGAGTTAGAACTCAAACAGACTTGACTAAAATCATATGCAATTTATTGGTAAATTACATTTCTTTTAGTAGGAGCAGCCAGGATGATGAGAGAGTACTTCTTGTTGATACTAGAATAGCACATTCCTTAGTGGTTCAGCAGATTTTAGAAAGTATTCAGAAAGTACTATAATTTGTGATGGGTTTGATGACCTATAGTTTCCTGATAAAGTGAAATGTGTTTCTTATGCTTTTGTTACACAGTTACTAATTCTGTGGTCTTTACCTCCTCTCTTCCTTTTGTGGAAGTTTGTAAGCCCCCCAAATCAGGGTTAATTTAAAGGCATCATGCATAGAATTATGCTCTGGATTTTGCCATCAGATTAATAAAAATTATCCCTTTGGAAAACATCCACATTGTGGAAGCAACCTATGTATTCATCCTGTGCTTTGAGACAGTATGGGTATTGCATATGGATTTTATGGTCTTCTATACATATTACTTTCTGTAGCATTAAGGTGTTACATTGTCTGTGAAAATGCCTAACAATGTTCTAAATTTTATTTTGCATTACATATTTTATTCAACTTGCTTTTTAATAATTTATTGTTACATAAGGATGTGTGATGAACAGGGACTTTAAGAATTATCTAGTTCATCCCCTAGTTTTCATCAGTTTTACTTAAATAATCCCAGACAGATGAAACAATCTAACACGGTATTAGAGAACTTTGAAAATTTTATGTTTTCTTCCAGTATGTCATTTTATACTGAAGTTCCCAATAATAAAGAATATTGATTATTGTATCAAACCTGAACTCCTTGTGAATTGAATTTTCAAAAGCTTTTTATGCTATTGAATCAAAGATTTTAAAGATCTGATACTATAAACAGAAAAATCAAGATGAAACTTAATTTTTCTTAACTGAAAACTTAAATCATTTGATATCTTAGGAAAATTCTGGGGAGCTGGCATCAGGATATGTACGTAGTAGGGTAGTTTATATTTAATGAATAAAAGCTTCTATATAATGTAGTGCCAATTGTGGTATGTTTGCTCCATTGATTAAAAGTATGTACTTATGATAGATGATTATTAGTCAGTGACTTTTGTTTTGTTCTGTAGCCATCGGCTTCTCCAAACTTTGAATTCTAGCCAAACATTTCACGATGTCTGTAATTATTAAAAATGGAGATGTAATCACCTTTATTGAATAATTCATGGATTAAGCTCTATTTACAATGTGTTCGATTACAAGTTTTCAGAGAAAAATCTAATTCCTTGTGGCAGGAATTAGATCCTTAATCTACCTAATATTCTGTAATAGGAGTTACCAATGTCTTGCATAAAGATGGTATATTCTAAATGTTTGATTAAGATAGTGTTTTGGCTATAATTCAGTATTACATTATTTGTTTTGTTGTTCTGATTTTTCAGCATGGTCCATTGGGTGTTAATTCAAGTTGGGTAAAAATTTAGCAGGTAAAGTGTCAAAATGTTTGAGAATAGTTTGACTAGTTTATAATCATAGGATTGGGTAGCTGAGGCAGAGAGGAAGATAATATTGATGGAGGAGAGTTTCAGGAACTAAGAGTTGAGGTAAGAAAAACATCATCAAGAATTTAAGGTGTAGTTTGAAATAGTGATAGTGAGCTAGAAGCTAAGTTCATTTAGAAATGAAGAGAAGGGACAGAGCAGATGTGTGTATGGGAGTTATGGGGGTGGTGGATTGATTAATAATATGAGTTTCAAAGCAGCATTAGGAGGCTGATTTGAGGGGGAAAAAGAGGATATTATGAAATGGTAACATGGAAGAAGTAGAACATTTACTTCACCTCTACGTGTGGTGATTTCTTCCAGAGCTAAGTAAAGAAAAGTGGTCACTCTTTGAGAAGGTTGTGTGCAAGGACAGAAAGAAACTGGAAAAAAGAAACCAACATTCAGAGAACTGGTGAAGACAAGGAGCATTTTACTAGATTGTCAATTCAGAGGTCACAGTGGGAGGGACTTTACCCTTCCAGCATTAGGATGGGAATAGTAGGTAGGATCAGTGTAGAGAAGGTGCACGAGGAGTCAAGAACAGCTATTATCTCAACTTCTATAACAGTTCTTATAGTTTATATAAATGTAATTATACAATATGTACTATTTTGTCTGCCTTCTTTTGCCCAACATGTGACACTACTACAGTTTTGGTTTGTTCATTCATAGGCGTATTTTTTTGTATAAATTACTATAATTTATCCATTCTATTCATTCTTGATGGACATTTGGTTTCTTTTTAGTTTGGTTTTTTTTTAACATTCCTGCTATGATAAGCATGCCTGCTATGATAAACATTCCTGAACATATGTTTCAGAGAATATGTATCCACATTTTTATTGGGTATATTTTTATGGGTGAAATTGTTGGATGCATAGAGTGTACATATATTTAAATTCAGAGGATGATATGTATTGTCAAAGAGTGTTCCAGGATATTGTACAAACTTACATTCACATTAGTTACATGTATTCTGATTGCCCCCATGTCTTTTTCAATGCTTGGTAGTATCTGGCTTTCATTCCAGCCATACACTGGGGGATGTGTGTGTGTGATGTGCATTTTAATTGACATTTCCTTGATGACTAACAAAGATGAGCACTTTTCATGCATGAAGTTTCCACTTGGTTAAGTGGTGGTCTTGTCTTTCCTATTGGATTTTCTGCCTTTTTCTTAATAATTTATAAGTATTCTATATATGTACAGCTTGAGACAGTATATATATATGCATATATATACATATACTTATATACACACATATATGCTACACATATATATGAATTGTAAAAACTTCTCTTATTCCATGACTTTCCATTTTAAAATTTAATCCTTATAATAATACATTGGAAATAGGTTCTGTGGTTATTGCTTTTTCACTGGTTAAAAAAAGTAAGGCAAATATCTAAAGTTATACGACAAGTAAGAAATAGAATCAGGATTCAGTGATTCAGTTTTTGAAATTTCACTATAGTTTCTGCTACATTATAATACTGACAAATGTTAAAAAACTTACTGCAGGGTTTGTGCCTGAATCAGTTCAAGTGTTTAAGTCTACTCCCATACAGATGTGTGAGTGAAGAAAAACAGACTGTACTTTAACAAAAATTTTTGCTTGAGATAAAAATGTTTTAACACTACCTTTAGTAACTTTGTTGAATAGGGTCAGTATCTTGGATATTGTCATTTTTACTTTTTAAAATGAATGGTAACCTATCAAGAAATCAAGTGGCCTGCTTAGACAGTTATTGTTGTAAAGAACTGAAAAAATAAGCAAATTAAATTACTTTAATGCTTTTTATAAGGTCCATTTTGTGTGCATCTCTTTTTGTATACTCACAGTTTTCAAATGTTTTCTGCAGTTTTAAGATGAATGATCTTTTTGAAATTATTTAATTGATAGTATGGAAAAATTTTCAAAATGTTTTTCAGTTGCATTCCTGAAAGCTGAAAGAGAATTGCAGAGCCAATTCCATCATGTTAAGATATTTTTACTTTTGTTAAAATTCTTGCATTTTAAGGCTTGTGTACATTGGTTTTGAAATGAACGTAGGAATTTGTTTGAAAGTACTTTAATTTCACAAATAAGAAGTAATTTCAGAGAAGCCTCTACATATAGTAATCTCACTGTAAATAGAAAGTATTAAAAATTGTTATCTTTTTCTATGTTAATTTTTCAGGTTGAAGGTTTAGAACAGATGTGGAAAGATGTTTACGTCAGAGAAAGGGGTTGTGGAGGAATGGTTGTCAGAGTTTAAGGTAATATTTATTCTTCTAATATAGTAATTATATTACAAAGAAGGTTTGTCTGGGTTTAATTTCAGTGGTTTTTAAAACTTTATTTGACTGAAAATAATGTTCTAATATATCTTAGTAGGGAGCTATTTGCACATATTAATCTTTTGTAGTAAATTAATTCCTTCCCCGCCGCCCCCCACCCCAAGTGGTTCAAAGACTTTAATCATTTGTTTGTTGCCCTTTCTGGGCAACATCACCAAGAATGGTTATGAATGCTAATGTCACTCTCCAATGATCATCATTGATGATTCATTGATGATTTATTGTCAAAATATTTCTCCTAGCCAGAAAGGGGGTAGGGGGTGGACTGGGCATGATTGACAATGGGGAGAGAATGCAAAGATACTTGTCCAACTTTCCATCCAGGGATCTTTCTTTTATGGCAACCCAGTGGCCATATAAGGAGTGTAGAGCCCTTGATGTATTGATAAAGAAAGTAAAACTTACAATTTTTTGATCTCTGTGATAGCTAAAATTATATTCCTTAAACCAGCTAATTCTTTTCTCTTGTCCTTATATAACATATAATTATGTGACCTTCATGATCATAAACCACAGAAGTGGAGAAATCAGGCAGAAAACATCACTTTGATTGTGTCCAGGCCAATCAGCCCAAGACCTTAGGGACAAACTTTCCAGTCTGGCAGTGTCAGGCTTATTGGCTTGTTGAAGTAAGGTAGACTGCACAGCAGGGATGACGAGGACATCTCGCCAAAGGAAAAGAGAAAATTAGTATAGCATTTGGAGGAAGGGTGGCTTAGATGAAATTTAAATGAAGCAGTATTTCGATAGGCTCAGAACAAAGCAGAACTGTTTATAATGGATTAACATCTGGTCTGGACTTCAAAGTGGACCCAGGATCTTGTTGTTTTGAAAACAATAAAGTTAACATAGATTTGGCATCTATGTGCAGAAACCCTTTATCTAAAGTTTTGCACCCATGATGGAAATTAAGGCTGCTTCTCTGTGTCAGAGTGACTTAGATCCTCTAGGCAAGAGTGGGACATTTCATTCTTACTAACACATGTTCAAATAACAAAGTTTTGATAATCTATCATTTTAGACAGCAAGGCTTCTCAGTAGGTAAGAATACAATAGTTTTTTTAAAAAGGAGATTGTTAGTGTGTCCTTGGGAGAAGCAATACTTCTGTTACGTTTGCAGCTGGCCTTACCTGCCTTTGTATCTAATCCTGATGAATGGCAGGGTAGAGTTTAACTTTCTTAGCTTTTATAGTAGTCAGTTCCCTTCTGTGGATTCCTTAGGTCATTGTGAAGAAATGTCAAATACTTTAAAAGTATACATAGTACTTTCTATATACCTTAATAATTTAATTAAATCTCATGTGTGCTTTTTTTTCCTGTTTATGTTATCTATATAAATAACCACAAAGTGTTTTTAAGTTTTTTTTTCTGCCTCAAAGGTGTTTAATATGGCTTGCTATATAGTATCATGATTTTGCAGGGGGCAGATTAATCATGGAAATTGTCAAGTTTAAGTTGACATTTCTTGTAGGGCATTTTGAAGTTCAGTAGTGAAGTCAAATTTGCAAAAGCTAATATAGCCAGTTATTGATTCTTTAAGATGTGAGTTATAGAAAGAAGATATAACTGCTTTCCTTTGCTGTCCTGTTTATTTATTCTTTTGTGCACCTAGCTTGGCATGTGCAGTGGGGAGGACAGAGGGCAGGGCAGCAGTATTGGTAGTACTGTGCCCTCATGTCTAAGAGAGTAGAGTGGGTTGGTTGAAGAGAAGTTGTACCTGCCAGCTCTGTAACAATTCTTCCCAACCACCCATAGATTGATTACATTGAGTAAACAAATTAATTGAGCAAATAAGTTAATTTATTGAGGGTAAGGGGAGTTAGGGTTCCTTTTGTCTGAAAAAAGGAATTATAAGCATGGAATGGGACTGTCAAGGGAGAACTCCTAAGGTATTAGGGTGGAATTGGAAGAGTCAGGATGAATGTATAGGTTCTAAATATGTATTATGTATAATGACATACATATGTATTTCCTAGCATTGTTCACAGAGAGAACCTAGAAGCAATGGCACCCTAGTAGCAATGGTCTTGTCTTCTAAATACCATCTTCCACTAACAGAGTATGAATACAGCAAAGTGAATGATGTATGAACATCTAAGCAATATTTTATCAAAAAGATACATTATTGCTATTGGGTGGTAATATTTTATTAAAATTTTAAATAAATTTAATGCAAAGGTAAGGAAACTTTTCCATTGGGAGGAAGGAAATGAAATGACAGACCACATGCAATAAAAAGTAATTTAGTTTCCTCCTACCCCCTCAAGATTAAATTTTCAATCAATTTGATATCACAGATGTTTTAAATTATCTTAAAGTCTGTATTATAACTAATTTCAGAAAAGGTACTTCCTATTGCTTGGTTAATTTGGTAGGCATTCCTGAAAAGTATTTTTAGTATTATTGTGATTTGTGGTAATGTATGTCAAATTCAGCTATGTGTTTGATAAACAGAACAAGATTATCAGGCTAAATCAACAGTATATTGGAGGTAATAAAAGGTAGAAATATGCTTGGGAACAAATATGCTAAGTCCTTTTGAAATTAGAATAATTAGTCTTTTGAAATTTGTGATTAAATTATTTTAGTTGGCAGAGTGGTTCAAGTAGTAGAGTGCCTGCCTAGCAAGTGTGAGGCCCCAAGTTCAAACCCAGGAGCACACACACAAAAAAATTATGTATTTTAGTTAAATTTTAAGAAAGGAGGTTATGTACATATTTTTAGAAAAGCCTCTGTGTAATAATAACCATGGTGACCATGGTGCTAATAAAGCCAATACCATCATGATTTATCAAGTGGGGCAAGAATCAGCAACCTTTTGATATAAACCTGATTCTCCTAGTAGGTAGTTTTCTGGCATTGGGCAAGTTATATAGCCTCTCTAGGTTTCGGTATCTTCCGAAAAATTGTCATAGGTGGTCTGTGGAGATGATTTGAGCTTTACATTGTTCCATGGTTACAATTTGAACTCCTAATCTTTTAATCTTACTCAACAGTCTCTCAAATGCACAGAGAAACAAACACAATTTGCTTTCTGTAAATATTTAATTAAAATTTTTAAAATTAAAAAATATTTTTGCCTCTGGAAAAACTATTCAGTCTCTGTACTTGCTATTCTCTCATACTATTTTCTTTACGTACAAACAAAAAATGATTAAAGGATTTCATGAATAGTTATCTTTTTAATGATTTACTTATAAAATATTATCTTTTAGATTATATTGTGTTCTTCTTAATGCTATGTGTACATTTTTATAGCAGATTTCCTGGCTCCTAATTTCATTATTTTTATGATAGTCACCAAATCTCAATAAGAAACTCAAAATCCAGTCTAATGTATGATGTTGAATAGGGCTGTTTTATTTATTGGTTCTTTACCCATCTGTCCATCTTCATTAATTCTCTTCCACCCAACCCATATCACCTCCCTACATTTTTAAAAAACCATCTGCTAAATGATACTTTAGTGTGAAGCATCTGTCTTCTTTAAATTTCGCCAAGAATATTTTCAACATAATTTCCCATTATTATGTTTCATCTCCATTTCTGCCTTTTGAAACATGAGAAACTTTAGTTAATAATTAAGAAGGCTAATACTTTTTAGCTAGTATACCACAATAAGATTTAAATATTTGCTATAGCAGTACTTAAATTCACTTGGCCCTTTTAGGTCTTAAGTGTTTCAGAGACCATTATTGTGTTTACACAATAGTTATATCCTCTCTCCTTTTGTAGATAAAACCAACTTTCCCAATTCATAAATTGAAAAATGACAGACTTGCGAGTAAAATGTTAATAGTTTCTGCCCTGATTTGTAAGATGCTCTTCCTTTCATTTAGCAGGAATAACCCTAGTCTAGTATATTTTGCACAGCTTGACTTTCTAGAAAAGAGCTGCTCTTTTGCCTGGGGCAATTTTACAGAAAATATTTTATTTCATGAAGCTTAGTTGATATATATACTGAAAATGGTTATTTCTGTTTTTTAGTGAATGTTCCAGTTTTAGACTGAATTGTATATATAACCTTATAATAATCTTTCTATTCATTTGTACTTTTTAAAATTTATATTTTAAGTCATTCTTAAATATATATATATATGTGTGTGTGTAGGAAAATATGTTTACTAGACATTTGTGTAATATGTTTTATATAGACTATATAATATATTTTATATATATAATTAAAACTCATTTACATTCAAGGGAATAGAAATCTGCTGTTTATTTGACTATTACTCTCTTTTATGTAAATTTCCCTAGTATAAGGTTACCCTTGATCAAATGATGGAAATGGAATGTTGCTTGGAGATCTTTTGTTACTTGCTTTTGAAATATTGAAGGCTATCCTAATCTCTTCCTTATGTAGGCAGTGCAGTGAAACAGTGAAACTTTCCCCCGCTTTGGAGAATGGTGGAGAGCTACCAAATAGTTCACAAATATCATTCTGATAAACAAAATTCTGTTATTAAATTTGAAAATTGTAAATATAATTGTAGATATAAATTATCTCCTAAGGTAAAATATGACCTATTTTTAAAGAATCTTCTGAAGTGCAAACAGTGGCAGTTTTTATTTATTCTTCTGTTCCTCTATAATATATTCCCTCAGCAAAGGTTTGAGTATGAGGCTTTGTGCTAAGTGAAGTGGATGGAGAGATGATGAGACAGTTCTTTCCCTCAAGGAGCTCAAAGCAAAGTAGAAATGAATCAAATATCTTTTTTTTTTAAAAAAAAAATGATGTTTTATTATTGTATTTATCTTATTCAGTGGTATTGGTGTTTGAACCTGGCTAGACAGGTACTCTACCACTTGAGCCATTCCACCAGCCGAAATATCTTTATTATAAAAAGTTTATGCAGCTGTGTTTTCTCTGCCTACATACACACACATATACCTATGTATAGCCAAACTATGTTAAGTCATGACATACTAGGTTATGGGATATATAAGAAATAGTGTATATCTTAAAATGACTGTTAGGAATATCTTGAGACACCATGTTTACTGAAGGATTAGCATCAACTTGATTGATTGATTGAAGGAAGTAATTTGGGTGAGAAAGAATAATAACTTGGAAGACAAATATTGCTATAGAGGAGGTATGCTCTAGATGGATAGGCTTTTGTTATTGTTACAATGAATTTTTTCAGTGTTCCTCACTGCTTTTTTTACCCAAAGATATATAATTTACTACTGAAATTGTGTATCTTTCTATTCTTCTCTGGTCATGGTAATTTGTCTGGGTGATGGTGCTGGCAAGCTGTGATTTGTTGTCCATATTATAAACAATATTAGAACTACTTTGTTTGTAATGCAGACGCATTTTTTTCCAATTCTGAGAAGTCCAAACTTTCTGCTCAATTCATAGAGTAGAACAATGTCACCAAGCTTGACAGTCAATATAAAACTCATTTGGATTAGGTGATTGCCTGTGGCTTTTAAGGTTGAAAACATTATTAGAGCCTCATAACCTGAAGCAGAATATAGCTAATGGGGCTTATAAGATATATAACACTATAAAATATATCTCTAGCTTTACACATGAGTCATATTCTCATTCCTTACCCAACACAATGAAGTTTTAATGTTGATTTGTCTCTGTTGTTGATATAAAAATGATAAAATATATTTTTAATTTTTAATTTTTGTTTATATAATTCACATCACATAAAATTCACTGTTTTTAGTGAATTTTGGCTTTTATTACATTTTATTATATTCACAATGTTGCAAAAAACACCCACTTCTAATTCTAGACATTTCTATCAACCCCAAGGAACTACTTGTCTGGTAATCATTCCCAGTCTCTCTCTCCCACCTCCAGTCTCTGCAACAACTAATCTATTTTCTGTCTCTATACATTTGTCTATTTTGGAATTTCATAAAAATAAAATATATGTTTTTTAATTTGTTTAGACACTACCAGAAACATCTTTGCCAAATTATGCCTCAAATCTGAATGATAAGAGTTCTTTAATTTCATCACTCTATAAAGTTATCCAGGAACCACAAAGTGAGGTAAGTACTTTTAGAGTTTATTGTGCTCATAGTATTCAATTAATTGATTTTAATTTTTAATTAGGAAATATAGCATGTATGTAAAGGGTAAGAAAGCAATAATAATAAAGTGAACTTCAGTGTATATTCCCCCGGACAAAAAAAGACAATTATTACTCTATTCCAAAGGCCATCTCTGTATATTGTCTTATCTCTATATGTTCTCTGTTTCTCTCTGTAGCCTTGAAAAGTCTAGGTCTCTGCATTCATTATTTGTTCAGCAAATATTTGTGTGTCCATTATGAGCCATCTGCTGTGGTGGACGTCAGAGAATCAAAGATCAATGACACAAGATCTTTATCCTGAAAGAGAAAAACAGGAGAAAATAAGTAGCCATATGGTTTTAGGGCAATGCTTAACTGAGTCTTTGTGTGCTGTGGTTTATATGTCTGTCCCCTCCAAAAATCATTTTGAAATTTAATTGCCCTGTAACACAATATTATTAAGAAATGGGCGGCTGGAGATGCGGCTCAGCGGAAGGGTGCTTGCCTAGCACCTGGTGAAATGGGATTAATCTATATTTCAGATTCTGGTGCTTATAAATCTCACCATTCATAGAAGATATAGAAAAGAATTGGGTATAGCATAGAAAATAAAAATGCGTGGCACGTGGAAAAAGACAAATGGCCTACTGCAGTAGGCTAAGGTAGAGGAGGGTAGGAACTGAAGCTGGAAAGACAGGTTTAGAACCTAAGCATGGTGGGCCTCAAGTTCTGTGTTAATCAGTTTGGACTTGTTTTGCACTGAAGAGATGACTTAGCAGATTTTTGTTTTAGGAAGATGGCTATGTGGAGGATAGATTGGGGAATGGAAAAATTGAAAGCAAGTAGACTAGGAGGCTATCTATGATAATAGTCCGGTAGGGAAATGTTGAGAACCTGAACGTGGGTAGGGTCAATGGGAATAAGAGAGGCACAGTAGAAAGGAGGGATCTGAGGTGCATAATTCCTTTTGTACTTGAGTTTTTGTGGATGATTTAATAGTTTCTGAAACCACTAATGTCATTACTTAGTAGAGTCCATTATTTACCGTAGAGTCCAGTCCTACGTGGATCCCTGTACCTTTGGAATGAACAAGGGTCTTTTGTTATTTGAGTCATGAATCTCTTTTGGAAGGGGTACAGAATAGCTCAGCTTCTTACTTATACTACAGAGAACATTATAAATTTTAGATGCTGAAGGGACAAGCCAACAAACTTTAACTGGAATAACTGAATTGAACAGTCATATTTGGTTTGTCACTTTGCCTCCGCAAAGCTTCTTAATTTGTATACAATGTATAGGTAGCCTGTTTTCTTTCCTAAAGTTTTTTGAGATGGGGTCCCACCATGTTGTCCTTGCCCAGGCTGGACATGATCTCTAGACTCAAGCAATCCTCCCACTCCATCCTCCTGAGTAGGTGGACTACAGGAGTGTACCACCAAGCCCTGCTAGCCTGTTTTCTTGAAGAGTTTTACTTCTTAAAAAAGGTTTGGGTGGGCTGGGTGCAGTGGCTTATATCTATAATCCCAGCTACTCAGGGTACAGAGATTGAGAGAATCAAGGTTTGAGGCCAACCCAAGCAAAAAGTTAATGAGACCCCCATCTCAATGAGAAAGCTGGGCATAGTGGCATGTGCCTGTCATACCAGCTATTTGGGAAGCTTAAGTAGGAGGATCATGGTCCAGGCCAGCTGGGCAAAAAAACCATGAGACCCTATCTGAAAAATAACCAGAGCAAAAAGGGATGGGGGTGTGGCTCAGGTGGTAGAGCATCTGCCTAGCAAGTGCAAGGCCCTGAGTTCAAACCCCAATACTGCCTTAACTGAGCAAGGAAAGAACAAGATGTGCAGTTTTTTTATTGGTAAACATGGGTAGGAACAAGATATAGGGAAGTTGCTCAGTTAAGAGCATTTTCTCTGTTTAGTCATTAAAGAGTATTTGGGGGGCAAGAGGGGTTACCAGGGTTTGAACTCAGGGCCTCCTGCTTGAGCCATGTCCCCAGCATTAAAGGGCATTTTTAAAAATTTTTATTATTTTTTTTATTCATATGTGCATACAATGTTTGGGTCATTTCTCCTCCCTTCCCTCACCCCCTCCCTTATCCCCCCCCCGCCCCCTCCCTCTCCTCCCCACCCCCTCGCTACCTGGCAGAAACTATTTTGCCCTTATCTCTAATTTTGTTGAAGAGAGAGTATAAGCAATAATAGGAAGGACCAAGGGTTTTTGCTAGTTGAGATAAGGATAAAGGACATTTTTGAGTCACATTTCTACCACCAGAAATCTCTCTTAAGATACAGACATCTTACTTAATTAAGTAACTTTATAATTCAGGATGTATTTTACAATGGATAGAGGATATATGGTGATTAGATTCTCATTAGACTCATAAAAAGTCCATTTAACACATAAAAATATACTTGAGGTATAGTTCTTTCCTAATAGTTCCTTAAAACCCAATCACCATGTGTGATAGTGTTTCCACGGGAAAATTCATTCAGAAATTTAACCCAGGCCCTAGAAACCCAGCATGTTCTAATGTTCCATTGCATGCCTCAGATGTATTCAAGTTAGGTATGTCAAACACTGCTCACTTGATGTATTATTTATTATTTTCTGACATTTTCCAGGCATGTTTGTAAAAAAAAGTCAAAAGACTTGGCTCCTTTCTGACTCTTGTGAGCCATGTGACATTGAGTATGTGTGTAGCTTCTTTGTCTCCAAGTATGGAGCTGGACATAGTGATGCGTGCCTGTAATCCCAGCAGTTGGGAGGCTGAGGCAGGAGAATTCTGAGTTTGAGGCCAGCCTGGGCTATATAGTGAAACCTTGCATAACTATATACATAAAGAAAGAGAGAAAGGAAAGAAGGAAGGAAGGAAGGAAGGAAGGAAGGAAGGAAGGAAGGTTCATGTGTACACCTTGCAAGCTGTAAAACACTGAACAGATGTTATCTATATTGCTATCAAATGCATAATTTCAGTTACTCTTTTTGCAATATAATTTCTATCTCCCTTTGAGTCTGTTTTCATTTAGTTCTGCTTTCATTAATCAAAACCCCTTTTAATTTGAATTTGAAACTGGTTAGAAAGCCTTTGAGTGTGTTTTGATTAAAATTGATTATGTGTTTATGCAGTCTGCCTTGAATGAATTTTCTAATAAGGTTTTATAATTTGTAAATACTTGTGACATTTGCCAAGTTTCATGAATTCGCTTAATCAAAGCTTGCCCCCAATGAGGAATGTTATATCACAGTTCAGGATTATTAAGTCTAATGCACAAAGAAATATTTAAAAACTATCTTGAAAGGTAAACATTCCCCTACCAGTCTTTCTTCCTGCCACCTCTAACACCAGTCTTCCAAATTCTTGCCCTCCAACCTTTTCTTGCCATCTGAGTAGAGTTTCTTTGCTTTCTGCCTTATAGTTTTCTATTATCTCCCATGGCCAGAGTAGTCACCCATTTTCCTCTAAAGACCATTTCGAGATTGAAAGAATAGCTATCAGAAGTTAGATATTTTTCTAAGAGAGACTAGTTTGACTTAGTGTTTATTCAAGTGTAACTTTTGTTAAGCCTTATAATACTTCATACTTAGTTTACTTTACATATTTTAACTTATTTGAAATCAAAACATCTACTGTAAATTGGTTTCTGTTTGTTATAGTCATTGGTAGTAGAAAATCTGTTAATGAAAGGTAGTTTATTGAGAATACAATAGCCTAATAGTTTCCTTGAAAAATCAGTGCCTTGTGAATCAGTTGACGTATTTGAGTATGTGATCATCACATATGCTTTAAGATAACACTTATGTATAAAAGTCTCCTATCTTGCTTTTCAGAATTTTTTAAAAAAGAATCTATTATAAAGATATAGTTAGCTGTATTAACTTTATAAAGTTGGGAGTGTGGCATGAAAGGAAAAAGTTATAGATGACTCCAAATTACATCTAAAATAAAATCTCAGTGTTTAAATTATCCATGGGCAATTCACCATGTACAATAGGGCTCTAGATCTAGGGACTTTGCTACTTTTCAGCTACCTGACACTCCAGTCATTGCTGTCACATGCTGCTGCTTTATTAGAATAAGCTCAGGGGAAAGGTAGTATAGTAACTCCTTCCTGAGTTCCCATTTCAATTTCTTCTACCCTGTAGCCAATCATTTATATATTAGCATGTAATTTATCAGAAAAAAAAACAACCAAGGAAGAAACTTTCTATAATTTAGCTATCTCAAGAAGTTCAGGGCTGGCGGCTGGCTCAAATGGTAGAGTACTTGCCTAGCAAGAGGCCCCGAGTTCAACCCCAAGTACTGCCAAAAAAAAGTTAAAAAGACATGATTTTATTAACAGTAGTAGTATAGGGAAATAGAATATTTTAAAGTTTACAGGTACTTCCTTATATACTCATATTACACTGTACATCTTACCACCAGACTTCAAACGATTTATCAAATAGCTTAGCAGTGAATAGTTTTGCTTCAAGATTAAAACACATATATTTCAGTAGTTATTAATCTGAAAAAACCTTTTTCATTTCATAAAATGCTGTCATTTAAATACAGTCCAATTGTTGAATGAATAGTTGTCTTTCTTCCAGTTGCTAGAACCTGTCTGCCATCAGCTCTTTGAATTCTATCGCAGTGGAGAGGAGAAGTTGCTTCGCTTTACCCTGCAGTTTCTCCCAGAATTGATTTGGTGCTACCTTGCCGTCTCAGCCAGCAGAAATGTGCACAGCAGTGGATGCATTGAAGCTCTCCTCCTAGGGGTTTACAATTTGGTTTGTATTTAGTGTATTAACAAAATGCTTTTCCACAAAATCAAATGCATAGCTTTTGAAACTCTTTTGGGTTGTAGTAAAGCTAATAATTGTTTTTTTATACATATTCTCCAAAATAACTTGGTAAGGGAGTTGGGAACCATAAAAGCATACTTATAATTATGTAAATATATCTTTATGAATTGAAGGCTGAAAATCAGACCAGTTCAATTCTTTTTTAGAGGTATTTAAAAAAATCAATGTTGCATCAAACATTTTTAAACTTTCCTCTTTTTTGTTTACTTTGTTTTGTTGAAATTTCTTTTCTTTTTTGGCAATACTGGGATTTGAATTCAGGGCCTCACTCTTGCTAGGCAGAGACTTTACTGCTTGAGCTACTCCACTGGCTAACATTTTTAAACTTAAAGTTCATTTGAACTTATCGTTTCTGACCTTCATAAAAAATTTAGTAGAAAAGATTTAGTCTAATAATCACCAGTCATGGTTCCATAAAATCTGGACCATCTCCAGAGTTATTACCATTGGGTTAATATATAGTTTGCATTACTAATAGTTTGTATATTTTATTATGTTGTATATTTTATTATGATGATGTTTTAGATACTTAAAGTTTTTAAGATGGAAAAGAAATTTAAGGTCCTTTTTTTGGGCATAGTTCACGTTTGAATCATTGATTTTAGAAAATATAACTTGTTACATGAAGATAATCAGTTATTAATCTACTGTATCTGTATCTCAGCCATCCTGAAAACAGTGTTAGTTTTACTTCTGTTTGATTTTTTTTTGTGTGTGTATGTGTATTGGGGGTTAACTCAGGGTCTCAAGCATGTGCCCTACCACTGAGCTTACACCCGCCATCTCAGCTTTATTTTAAAGGTAGAAAAATGCACATTTTAGCAACTGGTGTTTGTGAATTATAACTGTTTAAGATTTTAAGTTGACTTTAACATTTATTTCTACTAATATCTTTTTAAAAATTAGCCTAACAATTTAAAATTAGTTTTTAATTTTTTAAAAACTTTATTTATAAAGTAAATATTTTAAGATATTTTCTTTATTTTTATAGGAAATAGTTGACAAACAGGGACATAGCAAAGTGCTGAGTTTTACAATTCCATCTTTATCCAAACCATCTGTATATCATGAAGTAAGTGACATTTTATCAAAGTAAGTTTATTGGGTCCTAAGCCTTGATATTGTCATAAATTAGGGTATACTTACCTGGTGGGGGAGGAAATTTATTAGGACTTTCAAAAGTATAAAACACCATGAAAAGTATCTATACTATTACTGGAATAAAATGACAAGTCAAAACCATTAAGCTTTGAACTAAAATCTGATAGTATGAGATCTATTGAAAGTTCTCTTTGGCTGGGCATAGTAGCATATGCCTGTAATCCCACCACTAGGAGAAGGAAGGAAGATTGTGAGTTTGAAGTAGGCGTGGGTAACATAGCAAAGCCCTATCTTAAAAAACAAAACAAAACCAAAATGTACATTTTTTGGAAAATTTCTCTCGCTCTTTTTTTTTTTTTTTTTGGCAGTAGTGGGAGTCTCTCTTTTCTGATGAATAAAATTAGTCTATTTTTTGCATGTGTGGCAATTGTATATTCATAAAAATTATTTGTTTTTGAAGTTTTCTCTTTTTTTTTTTTTAAATCTTTGAGAAGAAAATTCAGTAGGCATTCTGAATATTTTTAAGATATGGGCACCACTGGCTTATGCTTGTAATTCTAGCTACTCAGGAGGCAGAGATCAGCAGGATTGCAGTTCAAGGCCAGCCTGGGCAAAAAGTGAGACCCTGTCTCAAAAAGGTCTGGGGGAGTGGCTCAAGTGGTAGAGCATTAGCCTAACAAGTGTGAGGCCCTAAGTTCAATCCTCAATACTTTCCCCCCAAAAATAAGCAAATAAAAGGTCTGTGATATTCCTAGTAGCCATTTTTTGGTGCTGTAGAAATTCTGAATATTGTATCTTCAGCAGAATAGCTGTTTTTTTTTTTTTTTCCAAATGTCTTTTCTTTAGCCCTCCAGCATTGGGTCGATGGCTCTGACTGAGAGTGCACTATCCCAGCATGGTTTGTCAAAAGTTGTATATAGTGGACCTCATCCTCAAAGGGAGATGCTGACAGCACAGAACAGGTACAAATTCCTATCCTACCTCACTGATTTAAAAAAAAATAAACTATTTCAGTAGACTCAGAAATAATGTGTATAGACCAGCTTATTTGACTATTGAGTCATTTTATAGGAGAGAAAAACATGTCTAGATTTGTCATTATAATTTGCTTCAGATGTCATCTGGAAAATTGAATTTTTAAGATGTTTTGCATGGCTGTTACTTGCAAAGTCTTTTTCCTTTGGTTTTTGTTGTTCTTGGTGTGCTTATAATCTATAAGCCTATTCTGTAGCAAAATATCTTCCAATAAAACTGTCCTTTCCTTTCTGTGGTTAGCTTCTTAGAATTCTAATGACTTCTTAACATTCCTTTGTTTTGTCTTCAGGTTTGAAGTGTTGACATTCCTTTTGTTGTGTTACAATGCTGCCTTAACTTTTATGCCCAGTGTTTCTCTTCAATCACTGTGTCAAATTTGCTCAAGGTAAATTAAAATTCAGAAATTTTTAACACTGAAATATATGAATCTAGGATTGTTTCTTACATACCTAAGTTCTTTTTGTTCTGTGTAATTGTGCTTGAAACATTAAATAAGCCAATATAAACCTCAGCCTCCCTAGCATATAGAAAGCTCTTTGTAAATGATAGCCACAGAAAACATGATGAAGAATGTAAAGCTGAATAACATTTAAATGGACTATTTAATGAGAAAAAGATTATACTATATATCTAAAAGCATGGAATGGTTATGATCTTTCAATGTTTTTGGAATATGGTTGATTTTTTTATTTTTGTTGCTTGCTTTTATATTTTACTGTGTTCTAACTTGGTGCCAAGAAATAAGTAAGAGATACATATTTTTAAGTTTTACTTTCTTAAAAAAAAATGACTTAAGCTGAGTGCCAGTGGCTTACATCTGCACTTCTAGATACTTGGAAAGTTGACATTGAGAGGATTGTGGTTCAAGGCCAGCCTAGGCAGGGAGTTAGTGAGACCTCATCTCAATCAATAGGTAGGTGTAGTGGTGCACACATATCATCTCAGCTACAGTGAGAAGTTTAAAGTAGGAGGATCTTGATCCTTGCTGGCCTGAGAAAAAACTGAGACCCTGTCTCCAAAATAACCAGAGCAAAAAGATCTGGAGGCATGGCTTAAGTGGTAGAGCATTTGCCTTGCAAGAACCAAGTCCTGAGTTCAAACCCCAGTATCACCAAAAAAAAAAAAAAAAAAAAAAAAAAAAATTGAGCTAAATTGTTGGTTAAATAAATTATAATATATTTGGGTATATTCTGTAAACTTTAAACCTTATATAAATAGATACATAAATACTGCAGAAAATTAAATTAAATAAAATGAATAAATAAAAATAAAAACTAAGCATTTAATAGTATTCAAGCATTTAATAGTATATATGTGCTATCATATGTACCACATGATATTTACTACTGTTGTATTTGATGATATGATCCAAATATTAATACTGCTTATCTCTAATTATCATTTTATTTTGGTTTTTATTCTTTGTAATTTTCCACAATTCTCTAATTTTTTGTGATAAACATACTACATTTTTTAAAGAACAAAAACAAAGCAAAAAAGGACAGATTATTGCCTTTGATAATTTAAGTAAATTGGGAAAATTATGAAATTAAGGAACTTGTAGAGAAACTTGTATCTGGCAAATTTATTTAGAAAGTGAAACTTAGCCAGAAGGAAGGTCCATTGAGGATACTTAAAAAATCAATCAGTTAAAACAAAGCAAATAAAAGGCAGAACTTGATACTGAATAGGATGGAAAGCCACGCAGTACCAACTGGAGAAAGGGGTTAACAAGGCAAGGGGTTTGTTAGAGAAGATGAAAAGTAGAGAAGTAGAGTCTTTGAGATGATTCCTGAATTGCAGCACACTTACATTTCAAGGACAGTACTGGTGCCACATCACTCAATTACTGAATCATTCTAGTATATTCCTTTCTTTAATTTTTTTTTGAGATGCTAGGGATGAACCTAGAGCCTTGCATACACTATATAAGCACTCTATCCCTGAGTTACATCCTTACCCCAGGAGAGACTATTTTATCATCAAAGGGAGAGAGGGGGTGAAAGGGAAGAACAACTTTATAAATTAAAATGGAATAAGATTAGTTTTCCTTGTTTCTCATTTCATTATAGTCCAATAAAACTTTGCTATGGACTAAAATGTTAAGACCATAAATCTTCTTCCCTCAGAAATACTAGTTTAAGAAATAACTTGATGCAGCAGTTTTCACCTTAGAACTTAAAACACACTACAAAATCCATGTCCTACTCTGGAGGAGTGAAACGCTATCTCTGATGGTTGGACCTAGGAATACATATATATGTACATGCATGTGTGTGTATTTATTTATATATTTATATGTAATATGTACATTTGAAGCTCCACAGATGTTCTAAAACAATGCCCTAATAAGAACCACTGTTGATTTTTCCTGAAATTATCAGTGGAAAAGTAAGGAAAGAACATGTGCTGCTGATTTTTGTCTTTGTAGTCTTAATGCACTGTTTTCTAATGCAATTATTTTTACAGTATGAGTAGAAAATTGCTAAATACCAATTTAACCTAACCAGGGGCATATGAAAAAAGAATATCCTTGAATAGAGAAATCAGATAATTGAAATGTGAATCAGAATTCTTAAATATTAAAAGAAAGAAAAGAGATCCCACTATTAGTTAATTTTGTAGCTGTACAGGACTAGACTATTTGGGGTCTCAGTTCAAATGTGCCTCCCTGGCATTACCTTCCAGGACCATCTTTTCTTATCTGTCTGTCTCTGTCTCTATCTCCTTTCTCCTATCTCTCTTTCTCTTTTCAGACAGGATATTGCTATGTAGTCTAGGCTACCTCAATCTGGAGATTCTCCTGCCACAACCTCCTGATTGATAGGATTGTAGGCATGTGCCACCATGCCGAGCCATGCCCATCTTTTCTAACGTACTTCTCTTCCTGCCTCAGAATGGTATCATTAAACAAACAATTTGATATGTTACTTCCAAAACCCTTTAGTTGCTTCCTGTTTTCTCTATAATAAAACCTAGCCTGTCATAAGATAGTCCATGATCTGACCCTTACTATCTAGCTTTGGCCATTTTCCTAGTGTCCCAGCATTCTCCTACTAAAATTTCCCTAGGCTCCTAATGTCATACTGTTTCATCCTATCTCTGCTTTTGCCCTTTCCTATGTTTTCCAGATGGAAAATGCTACTTTTTCAAAAGGCTCAGTCCAAAGGAATCTTATTGAGATGCCCTCTCTGACCCTCCATTTCTTCCATATGAGTTCCATTATCTTCTTTTACCACCTTTGGAATTTACTGCACATTCTCCATGATTAGATTGTGAATCCCTGTGGGAGCTACATGCTTTGTCTATGTCCCTGGTGTCTGATACAATATCGATCTCTAATCAGTTTATTGCATGGATAAGTGAATTAATTGAAAAATCCTGACTTTTCATGCATTGGTTCTGTTACTAGCATCTGTATGTTAAAGGTGAAAGGTATAGGGAAAGTAAAGTTCTCTAAGTTTGCTTCTTTAGATGATAAGGGTAAGATGAGTCTCTGTTCTAGTTTGAATATAATTTTTTTGTAATTTCAAACAAAATTAGAGTAGGTTTTATTTCTTGTACAGCTAGTTTTTCTGATTCTTTACTTTTTATTCTTAGTTTTAGAGAGTGCTGAGATCCTGTCAGTTAAATACAAGTTAGATGAATTTATATTTAGTCTTTAAAATTGTTTTAAAAATTATAACATTTTAGGAAGATGTTTTTGAAATGGTCTTTGGCACTTGGGCATTTTTAAGAAAAAGTTTAGAAACCAGGCCTCCGTGGCTCACAACTGTAATCCTGGCTACTTGGGAGGCTGAGATTGGGAGGATTGTAATTCCAGGCCAGCCCAGGCAAAAACGTTTTCAAGACTCCATCTTAATGTGAAAAAGCTAGGTGTGGTGGCATGTGCCTATCATCTCAGTAACTGTGGGAAGCCTAAAACAGGAAAGCCTGTGCAAAAAATGAGACCTTATCTCTGAAATAAGCAGAGCAAAAAGGGCTTAAGCAGGAGAGTGCCTACCTAGCAAGCTAGAAGCTCTGAGCTCAGTCCCCAGTATATATATATATATATTTTTTTTTTTTTTGAATAGGGGAAATAAATACTAAATCCCAAGTAATGATAATGATCCCAGGGGGAGAGTGGTTAAGTAATTACAATCTATTATCTAGTACTGTATTAAGTGAAAGTTGTATTATATCAACCATATGACAAAGCAGCTATTTTCTAGGGAGAGGTTTTTTTTTTTTAATCTTTTCTTTTTTGGTGCTGGAATCAAACCCAGGGCCTCACCATGCTAGGCAAGCACTGTACCACTGAGCTACATCCCAGCCCAGCAGCTATTTTCTAATAAATTAATTTAAATAGAAATCATAGAAAATTTAGGAATTACATATAAACATGAAGCATAAAATATGGCTGGGGATGCAGCTCAGTGGTAAAGTACTTGCTTAGCATGCAGAAGGCCCTCAGTTTGATCCATTAAAAAAAAAGTAGGTCTGTAATCCCACAGATCAGAGATAACTACGACTTCCTGTATGTTCCTTTTGAGATAGACTGTATGCTTATTTGTTTATTATAAACAGGAATTATTCAGGGATTTTTTTTGTTGCTTATGGAAGTACTGGGGTTCAAACTCACGGCCTGGCACTTACTAGGTGAGCACTCTACCCCTGGAGCCACACACCCAGACCTTTTTGCTTTAGTTATTTTTTAGATAGGGTCTTGCGCTTTTTTGCCCAGGTTGGCCTTGGACTGCAGTCCTACTGCCTGTGATCCCCACATAGCTGGGATTGCACATGTACACCACCATGCCCAACTTGTTGATTGAGTTGGGGGTCTCACTAACTTTTTGTCCAGGCTGGCCATAAACCAGGATTTACTATCTCCCGCTCCCAAATTGCTGGGATTTCAGGTGTGAACTACAATGCCTGGCCATGTATGTGTTCTTTTATACAGCATTTGCCCCATCACTTAAATAGACTTTTAAAGTATGTTTAATTGTGTCATATTATACTCTGAGTGATTTATACAATTGGTTCCCTGTGTTGGACTTTAAGATGGCTTTCTATTCACTATAATAAATATTCCTTAACTTTTATACTTAACTATTTCTTACTATAATTTTGTTTATGGTCATTTCTTTGAAAACAATAGTAGAATTTATCAAATTTTCAAGATTTATCTTTGGTTTTTAGGCAGATGGGAAAAGTAGATAGCTATTTGCTTATATTTTATTTCTCTTTTTTAAACTTTGAAGATTTTAATCTGTCTGAAATTTATGATGGTGTGTTACATAGGTTTGAGTCTAATGGATAGTGGCTTTTTGATCCTCAGTTTTGTCAAGGATTTTATCAGGAGCTGAAGATCATGCTGCAAACCTGTTAATTCCATGTAGCAGCTTTTGCAGTAGCCAGAAGTTAATAACTGAGTTGACCAAAATTAGTAAACCAATTTACTTTTTTTTTTTTTTTGCAGTATTGGGGATTGAATGCAGGGTGATTCACTTACAGATATCAACATGCCTCTAGCTTTATAAATTTTTCCCAGTCTAACTTATCCAGGAAAAGGTTAAGTGTTACAGCCAAATGTTCTGTTTGGAATGATTCTTTGTTTTATACATATTAGAGTTGCTGTTGTTATTGTTGGATTGTAAATATTAAAAAATAAATTACCTAAACTTTTCAAATTTCATTTACTTTGGTCTTTCCAGAATTTGTGTGTGTGGATATCCTCGACAACATGTAAGAAAATACAAAGGTGTAAGTAGCAGGATTCCGATTTCTTCAGGATTCATGGTGCAAATGTTAACAGGAATTTATTTTGCCTTGTAAGTTTATCTCATATACAAAGCACACCTTTGATTTTGGGGAGATGTTATAGTTTGTTAATATTTTTTTTTACTACATTGTAGTCTCAGTAGATAATCATTGTATTTTTAGAAAGAATAGGAATCAAGATCTTGATAATAGCATTATTTAAAATGGCTTTTAAAGTTGTGAAGCATTTGAAACCAACTAAAATACTTCATGATTTTTCTTTAATTCAAGGATGGAATAAAAATGAATAACACTTAAATATACTTATAGACCCTTTCTTCATTACTCTATTTTTACTATAATTTCCAAATAGGATTTTTCCTCAATGAATATCTTTTTGTTTCAAAAACTTTAGCTCTTCAAAAGTATTTTAGAGACTCTTTGATCAGAAATAGTTTGTTACTAATTTACTATTGATTTCTAATTTTGGTGCTCAGTCTTATGTAATGACTTAGGTACTAGTATATTTCTTCAAACTCTTATCTTTTACGTTGTGATTCTCTTACTGCACATACTTACTGAACTTTGCATTATATTTACTTGACATTTAAGTCTTCCCTGGTAAGAAGCTGGTATAAGCTTCTTGACTGAAGGCATAATTTATGGTGTGTGGGCCAAATCTGGCATGCTACCTGTTTTTGTAAACACAGTCATGCTTACTTGTTTACACTTTGCCTACAGCTGCTTTTGTATTATTGTGGCAAGAATTGAGTAGTTGTGATGGAAACTGCATGTCCCACAAGCCTAAAATGTTTGTTGTTTGGCCCTTTATGAAAAAGTTTCCTGACCCTGTGTTAGGTCATTAATATTGTCCCACAGTTCTTGGATGCTCTGATGCATTTTCTTTGTGTTTCATTTTGGATAACTTCTATCTTCACATTTACTAATTCTTTGCTTGAATTAGTAGATTCAGCATAGTCTACCATGAGGTCATTGAAGGCCTTCTTAATCTCTGTTACTGAGTTTTACTTCCAGCCTTTTCATTCAGCTCTTTCTTATAGTCCCATCTCTGCTGAAATCCCCATCTATTTGTGCATATTGTTTATCTTTCCCACCAGAGCATTTAATATGCTAATCATAATTTTAATTTTCCTTATAACATCAACATCTAGGTCATCTCTGAATTTAGTTATATTAATTGCCCTATCTTTTGGCAGAAGTTTTTTCTCCTTGCTGCTTCGTATGCCTTGTAATTTTTGATTATTCATGATTTTGTTCAGAGGTAGAACAGTAGAGACTGATAGAAATATGGATATGACTCTTTTTTTCTAGGCTGCTAATGGAGTTATAGGCATGAGTGAGCTGGAGGTTGGTTTTCTTTGTTGCTATGGTTTCTCTCAGGCTACCACTTACTTAATTCCTCTAGTGCTACCTGGTATTTAGAGTGGGAGCTGAAATTTTGGGGAATTTATATTACTGCTCTATCCTCAACTTTCAGCTTCCCCTGTATGGTTGTCCCTCAGAGAGGGTCCTTGGCCCTCCTCCAGCATTAGAATGTTGTTTCTAGGTGTGCAGTAGCCTGGTAATGATGGGAGGTATGGTGGCAAGTGGTGCTCTCTGTTGTCCTGGTCCAACCTCAGTTCTATGCAGACGCCTTGTCCTGTGTCTCAGGTGTGGCTTCTCCTCCAATGGTAAGCGACCTCTAGTGATCTCTGTAGAGAAAGAGATTTTTAAACCTGATTTTCTTTCTAGCAGAGCCACAGTAAGTCTTCTTCTATGCTTTGGGGTGAAAGGCTTTGCTACTCTCTCCCAAAAAGCTTTAAAACTTTTCTCACATGAGAAAATGGTGTGATCAGGTCTTTGTGCCTTTCCCATGTGAGTGGCCACTCTGCTCCTTGAGGCCTGTACCACCAAGGGCAGCTTTCTCTGATCCCTGACCTGCTTCCAGTCTTTCATGTGAGTGCCTATAGGAGATTTGTGGAGAAGCCTGTAAGGGAGACGAGCTTCCCTTGTATGTGCTACCAGAGGTTCTGTACTCTCCTGGTAGCCAGCTTTTAGTAATTTGGCTTTTAGGAATTTATTGAAAAGTTTAATTGATTATTCTTACCCATTAGCATTGTGGTCTACTTTCCTTGGGGTTCAGGATACTTGGGTGACCTGTGACCTTAGCCTTTGTCAAATTCATGAAAAGTTATTATTTTTAAAATTATATTGATTTTAGAATGGGTGTAATGCACTTTCCAGTTTTTTAGGCTTCACTTGTACTCTTGATGTAATTCATACTTTTTTATTTTATTAACAGATGACCAAGCCATTAGATCTCTATTTACTTTCATCATTTACCTGATATTTAAGAAGGGTTTGCATATGTACAAATATTATACACATCCTTTCCCCCTCATATTTCTCTCATATTTGCTTCATATATTATGTATATTTTAAAATAACCATCAGAATGTGAAGAAATAACTACTCAGGATACTGAGTGGCAATAGATTTTCATTAAAAACCGTGGTAGTTATAGGGCAATTTGACCACAAATTGTTCTGAACATTATTCTAAGGTATATAATTTATTATGCTGTAAGATGCTTTGAAATTACCTTGTGCTTTTTTATTTCTGTACTATAAATAGTCATGTTCTTTAGAAAAGAAATGTACGTCCATAAAATTTTCTTTGCTATTAATAGGCTTTCAGATAATGGGAATTCAAAGACTTAAAAATATATTTTTAGGGGGAATAGAATGTTAAGCAGTACACTAATGTGGTCTGTCACTTCTTAGAAAAGATAAATAGGTCCTCCTTATATTTTGTTTAATTGTATAGAATTAATTAAAAATAATACTTTCTTCCTTTAATTCATTTAATTTTATAGATACAATGGAGAGTGGGATCTAGCTCAGAAAGCATTGGATGATATTATTTACAGAGCTCAGCTAGAATTATATCCAGAACCACTGCTGGTGGGTACCTCATTTAATTATGTAAAAAATTTAAATTTATGAATTTTCAATTTATAGAAGTTGCTATTGATAGTGCATTAATATGCTATTAATACTCAATAATTCAAGCTCTAGTTACATTTGGGAAATTCTACATTTAAAAGGGTATATGTAAAATTTGAAAATTAATTAGACTAACTTCTTGGATATTTGATAAACAGTCTTTTTTGCTTATAAGCATTTCCCCTTAACATATACTAGATGCATTTATTAATTGGCATTAGGCATTGGGAAACCTAATTTAATATTTTGAAAATTATAGATTTATCACATACATAGTATTTTTAATTGTAAGCTTCCATCTGAGCCTCTTACTCCTCACTCTAGAGAATCTATGTATCATCTTCTGAAATACCTTGGAGAGAGAGGTATTTATAAACCTGTTAGCATTTAGCCTTATGTTTTATCTAAGAGTAAAATAATACATCTGTTCATGTCAGTCTTAAATTATATTTTTCCTTTTTAGGTTGCTAATGCAATAAAGGCTTCATTGCCTCGTGGTGCCCTGAAATCTAGTAAGGAAGGTACAAGGTGTATTCAAGTTGAAATCACACCAACTTCCTCTAGAATATCAAGAAATGCAGTAACCAGTATGTCAATAAGAGGTCACAGGTGGAAAAGACATGGTAAGAAATACAGATTCTTCAGATTAGAGCATTTGTGGCTCGTTCACATTTCTCTCTGTACTTATGGTACTAGAGCTTTTAACTTTAGTAAGTAGTACCATAGTAACATGGAAGAAAGGGCTGTTGAGTCACCTCTAATTCCTAACTTATCATCCAAGCAAAAGACAATTAGGGAAATAAAGCTCTTATATTACATGTTTGAGTGAAAATTCATTTAAAAATTGTATTGGCTTTTAGGTTTCATTTCAATAGAGTAGGAGAGTAAGAAAAATGCATTTTTAAATTACTCATACATTTTGGGTTTCTATTCTTAAGTCTTACAGATATTCCTTAATGATATTTCTTAACGAATTGCTTAGCAAGTAAACTTGCATGTTGAAGTAGGTGAACTAATAGGAACTTTAAACATTTATTCAGGATTTCCTGGTCAAGAATGCTATCGTGAGGCTGGAGGTGTGGCTCAAGTGGTAGGGCACCTGCCTAGCAAGCGTGAGGCCCTGAGTTCAAACCCCAGTCCTGCAAAAAAAAAAGAGAGAGCCATAATATTGATGCCACACTAGGCATTTCTATTTTTTTTTTTTTTGTCTTTTTTGGTGTTGGGATTGAACCCAGGGCCTCGTGCATGCTAGGCAAGCGCTGTACCACCAAGCTACATCTCAGCCTGGCATTTCTATTTTTTTAAGTTAATTTTCTTTCAGGATTGTTTATTGTTTGAATTACTATTCCTTCTTAATCTGCTTCATTTTACTGCTTTAAAATTTATATTGGAAGCTAATTTCATTCACCATGATCTTAGTGCTTCCCACCTTTCTCTGTTAATTTATTCTTTATTTAATTTCTTCTCTTTTTTTTAATAATTTCCCTCCTACCTAGAAGTTGTTGTAGTGGCAAGAATCAGTGTAAGAAGAGGATTAATATTACCTTCCTCAGAAGGTGACCTTTGGATGGGAGGCAAAAAGCTACTTCTTTCCCCCCAAGCAAATGTACATTAGGGGTAAAACAAAATCCAGTTTCTGTTTTCTTCCTCCTTTAAACTTTGATGGAAATGATACCTCTTTTTGGTAAACTGTATTTGGCTTCAGCTGTCTCTGGGATCTCTGTAGAGCAAATGGGAAAGTGAGAAGAATGAGGTTATATATGATAAAGTATAAAGCTGAGGATGAGAATAACTGCCATTTCCCTCTCAGAGATTCTTAAAGATTGTTTGTCAAAAAAGAATAAGGATGAAATTGCTTAGTTAAACTAATGATCATTATTGACCCTGTTCTTTTTTTAAAGTTAGCCTGAGTTCCTAAAAGTTCAGTAAGAAAGCATAAAAGAGGTGGTGATATTTGCTATTAAGAAGGCAAATCATGCTATTACGTAAAACATACAAAGTCTAGTCATCAGTTTCTTCAGTGAAAATTATACTTTTGAATATGACTATTACAGAATAGTCATATAGTGAAAGAGCAATTTAATTAGATATGGTGATACCCTAAGGATCATTGTTTCTGTTTTAGCATTGATGTTTGAAAATAGATATAGAGGCAACAAGCCAGATCATATTGGGCACTGTGGACATAATCATTCCCAAATACTGTTACAGAAATTGCAAGAAGGAATTTTAACTTTTCCACTTTTCCTTCTTGCTATTTAAGTGGAAATATTGGGAATCAGAGGAGGAAACATAGGTTCTGCAGCTTAAAATGTGAAAACTATTGACGCTCCCTTGTAATTATGCATGTGTGTGAGAGAGTATATGTGCATGTCCAGGTGTGGATTTAACAAAAGGAAATATGTACCATATAATAAAGTGGAAGCTATTTTCCAGAAATATTTCACAGGAAGAAATACCAAAACAAGAGAAAAGACTACTGGAATATACTGTGTCTATTATTAGATTCTTATCTTCCATGTTACATTTTGGTTGCCACTTGAGGACTTTGTACTCTGTCTTAGGGCTACAGCCTCATGATAGTGCCCTTCTTATTACTGCTTCCATATTTATTCAGCCTTCAGAATTCTAACACTTGAGTAACTCCTGTTTATGATAACAAAAATGTCATAGATCAGAATGTAGACGATGTATAAGAAGCAAGTCACATGCATGAGCAGGTAAAGAATACAGATTAGCCTTGTTTGCCTGCCACCTTCTATTGTGTGAATTCTCTTTATCCAGTGGACTATAAAATATTGCTAGTATATAGTGATTCTTAGACTGCATTCTCCCTTTTTAGGATCCTTTAGGGTTTTCTTTCTATATTAATCTATTTTCTGTTGCTATACTAAAATGCCCAAAGCTGAGCATTATGAAGAAATGAAGTTTATTTAATGTACAGTTTTTGAGGCTGAAAGTCCAAAAAATCTGGCATCTTCATCTGTTTGACTTTCTGTAAGGGCCCCCTTGGCTGGGTCACAACATGTTTGGAAAAAGGAAAGGGTTTGCCATCATCTGTGTATTTTTTTTTTGTGGGACTGGGTGGGGTTTGAACTCAGGGCTTTGAGTTTACAAAGCAGGCGCTCTACCACTTGAGCCGCACCTCCAGCCCTGGAAAAAAAGGAAAGGGAAACAAACATCTGCGTGAGGAAAGGGAAGGGGCAAATGTATGGGGTGGTCTTGCTTCATAGCAACCCACTCTCTCAGGTACTAACTCCATCTTTCATCAGTTACTTCCAAGGGCAGCACTCCCAGTGATTTAAGTACTTTCCAGTAGGCCCACTTCTGAAAGGTTCCACTACTTTTCACATAATGCTGGGAACCAAGCTTCCAGCACATGAACCCTTGGGGGACACATTCAAACCATATCAAAACCATAACACCTTCCTTTTTGTTGTTTCCAAGTTCTGCTGAATTAATTAAAAACTTCCCTATATTCTGTTCTAATGGTCTTGCTTCATTCTGAGCTCTCTAGCTATTACTGGCTTCTTGTGGGAAGATAGGTATCTTTGATATTGTTTCTAAATATATACACAGTTCTCAAATTATAAATAGATTTTTAAAATTGAATTTTATTTATATATAAAACTATATTATACACATATGACAATGTAAATAATACATTTCTTTAGAAACAATGTTAAAGGCTTTATAGAATCCAGGGTGACCTGCAACGGCATGTTTATCTCATAACGTTCCTGAAGCATAATACTGTAGAGTGTAGGTTTAGTTTATGACCAGATGAAAACATTTGGACTCCTATATCTGAAGGAAACCTACTTGTGTTTCCCATTCCACCCATTTCCCCACTGTTCCCTCCCCACAAAAATCCTCATAGGAGGAGAAGATTCTTCTCAAACCCTTTACATGCACTCTGTAGCCAATAGTGATAAGGGCTAGAAAGGAGACCAAAAAGCACACATAAACTTTACAGAATACTCTTTTATTTTTTTCCTCCTTGCTTCTTTCTTTGTCTGGTGGTGGAAACGAAGAAAGCACTTCTGTTTTCTGTTTAGTCTCTTCCCTTCTCTTTTTTATATATCATTATTACCTTTCTTCTTTTTCTCTTCTTTCCTTCATACCTGGGTAGTAGAGGGAAAGGATTAAGTGAGCTTCTCCCATTGAAGCAGCTGAGAAGAACTTTCTTTTTTTTCACTTTTTTCTTTCTATATCTTTATTATTAAGAAATATTCACAAGTAAGCCATGTGAGCTGCATGGGTTTATATTATATATATGAATCAGCAAAATTATTGCATAACAAATAACATTAAAGTATAGCAATTATTCCTTTCTGTTATTTCTGGGTTCTCTGAAGCTTCATGGATCTGCCATTCCTTTCTTAAAGTTAAGAATTATTCACAGATTAAAATTTAATGAAAAGTGTCCTAATGATAGGTAAAAAATTACTTTAGTCTTAACATTTTCACACACTTCAGAACACACATACCTTGCTATGGTCTTTTGTTGTTGAATAATAACCCAAATTTCTAGAATTTTATTTTGACCAGTTTTATTATTTGCTCTGTCCTGTATTTTTTTTTAATTAGTAGACTTTTTAGAGCAGTTGTAGGTTCATAACAAAGTTGAATGGAAAGAACAGAGTTCTTATAACTGCTCTGGACTCTCCCATAACACATAGCTACTCCATTATCAACATCCTGTACCAGGGTTGCATTTGTTAGGCTCTAAAATTTAAAACTTGACTGGACAGTGCATCCTCATTTCAGCTAACTGGGATGATTTTCTAAAAAATAAACAAAATGAAAAGACAGGTTAGTTTCAGCAGCAGTACTATTTTAGAGAAATCTATTTATGTTCACCTGATTCTCTCCACTTTTTGCTAGATTATATTAATATACTGACATGGCTTTACTTAATGCTGTGTTTTTCAAACTTTTTTAAATTTGTGTTTGAATCTTTGAGAAAATTTTAGTGACTTTTTAATTCCATGTCAATGTATATGTTTGGAAACTAAAGTTGCAATATAGAATTGCTGATTTTGACTTTTAGTAGCCATAATTTCATAACTAATACCTTTATTTTACATAGTATTAATTTAAAACCACATTGTATTTTGTTCAGTCTATAGATAGTGAATAATTCAAGGCAAACATATATTTTTAAACTTAGAACTTTCATACCACCTACAAATTGAGGGTTATCTAGAAGTCATAATTTACAAGTCCAGTCCTCATAGTCATTCTTGATAGTTGCTTCCAAGTCTTCATTATTTACCATTGTAACTCTTTAAAGCCTCCTTGAGTTCCTGAATGGTTCTCCAACATACTAAGATGCTAGTATGCAATCTGTGCTGATTTATTTCTTTGTACTTTTCCATTCTTACCCTTCTTCCGAGCAAATTTAATTGCTATTTTTTGTTTGTTTCCCCACAACTACCATTACCATTATGACTCATTCTTCTACTTTTAAAAAAATTATCTGACCTTGGAACAACAAAATCAATTTTCTTCCTTTCTTTAAAAATAGTTATTGAAATAATACTCTCCTTTATAAAAGTACCCTAAATAAATAGGGCAAATAATGAATGCTTATAATTTTTGCCAACTAGTATCTAATAAA